AAAAAAAAAAAAAAAAAAAAAAAAAAAGAGGCTGAAGCAGAAGACTGCTGAAGGTAGCTGAAGACTGTTGAGGGTAGCTTGGACTTAATAGTGAGTACCAGACCAACTGAGGCTATATAGCAAGACCTTGTCTCCAAAAATACCTATTTATTGTCTTTATCTTTTCCCCATTATTTACAGAATACTTTATTAGTTTCTGTTACCAAACCCACATAGATAAGACAGTGAGTTTAGCATTGTTGGTTTTTGTACAATGCCAACTCAACACAGTAAAATGAGAAACCTTTTTTTTTCAAAGTTGACAGCATAGCTAAAGTTTCCAAAAATTCAGTGTGTGTGTGTGTGTGTGTGTGTGTGTAAGGACTAACCATAGTAGTGGGATGTGCTTGATGTAGCTACAGGGGACTATTTCCACCCCTTTGAAGGTCATAGTGACACCATATAATCAAAGTTGGGACTTTAAACTATTGGAAATTCTTCTAGTGAATCAACAGAAGCTGACTAAACTCACTTAGTATTGTTACAGTAGAAACTAAAAACAGGTTTGAAAGAAAAAAAAATAAAAGCCACGTTGATAAATTATACTGAGAAAAACTTCTAGTTTCAGAATTGTGAAAAGTGTTTTCAATTTTAAGAAGGCATTCTCAGGCAATAGCTTTTCCCTGCGTGCGAATGTTACACTATGAAGTGTGGCAATCATGAGCTAGAGTGAGATGTTTTGTTTCAGATCATATGAGAGGCTCCGGAAACCTGAGGCATGAACTGTAACATATTAAATAATTAGCTATTGAAAATCTGAAAGTTTGACAGTCAAATTCCCTTTTCATATGAATAAAAAATTTCCGCTGGTAATTTCAGGATGGTAATTTCTGTTTCTCGAGTAAATACATTCTGATCAGAGCTAAAGGGAAAAAAGTACATTTAAATAATGACACAATGTATGGCTTCTAGTCCCAGACACACTACTGCTTCATGAAGAATTGTCCCAAGTGTGAAGTCTGTGTATAATCTCTGATGGAAACAATGCAAGCAATACTGATGCCAGTAGCATGAACATCCCAAAGGTGTCTAACATAATACTTGATTATGTGTGACACAGATATGTGTGTGTCCCAGTGCTATGAATATTAATTACTATTGAAACTTAGACCACCATTATTCTGAAAAACAAAAACAAAAACAAAACAACTGACTCAGCTGATGATGGTCACTCAAGATTTTTGTAACCACTCAAGATTTCTGGACAGTGATTCTGTGCAAACTATTCATTGAGTGCATAGTTGTATAATGCATTCCTCATGTTAGGATATTTTTAGACTATATGAAATCAATCTTGTGGTAGCAGTGCTGACCCAGGGCCTCTAGAATGCTAGTCAAGCATTCTACCACAGAGCTATCCTTAAAACCCACAAAAGCAAATTTGAAGACATTGACTACACTTGGCAAGATCCCTAAGAGCCCAGACCCAAGGACAGTACAATGTACCTTGTTGACAAGGCGCAGAGGGATCCTGCAGCAACAACATATTTGGCAGGACCCCATCCAACGTATTCAAATGCTACAGGAAGTGGGCTTTTCTCATCCAGGAGGTAGTAAGGCATCATAAGCGTTAAAGCTGCAGAAACCCCAAAATAGGCCATAAAGCAAACCAGTAGGGAAGTCACTATTCCAATGGGGATAGCTTTTTGGGGGTTCCGGACCTCTTCACCTAAGGAAACACAAACAGAAGGTGTGCATGGTTAGTAAACAGCTAAACAGCTTAGGAACTTCCTGTTGATCAAATGCCCCTCCTCAGTGGTCATTCTACCCAAGGTTTTGTCCCTTCTGCATTCTTAGTGGGTTCTATCTATTTCCTATAAAATTTCTCTTCTCTTCTTCAGGATACTTTGCTAGTAACAAAAGTGATCCAACTTTCAAAGGAAGAAGAAAAGAATGGAATATATACAAGTCAGTTTCCTATCTTCAAAGGGGGGAGACCCATGAGCACGCTTAAGTGTTTAGGTCTAGAATGGCAGTTGGTGTCATTTGGGAAACAGTCGCACTCGTATTCTGTAAGCTTTTGAACTGCAAGGCTTCAAACAAACTTATTTCATCTATTTATAGGAAACTTTAGTTTCTATAAAAAAGCAAAATATCCTTCTCACAAGATTAATATTTGAAGCTCCCCAGTCAGTCAGTTACAAGGCTATTCAATGGGGAACCCTGAAAGATACTGGGATGAGTGTTTTGTCACTTGGCCTAAAGAGAAAAGAATTGGTATAGTACCAAATTCTGGTGAACAAAAAGACAATTTAAGACAATGACCATCTGGAGGGGACAGAACTTTTAGTTAAAAGGTTAAAGACAGAGAATAAGACAATTTAAAATAATAACCATCTGGAGGGGACAGAACTTTTAGTTAAAAGGTTAAGGATAGGATTGTGAGCATCATTTAAGATTCCTCATCTAATCAGCCAGATGTGTGGTCTTGGGTTGTTGTCATAACATCTTCAGAGGAGGTGCTGCTCTTGACAGGAACAATGCTCTTGACCAAGTGGCTTTTGCATTAGATGCAGCACGGGTTGCAAGTGGATCTGGAGTTGGTACCCTTCCTGCCCTACATCTCACCCTCTCCTGGACCCCCGCTGTACCTGTGGCTACCCCTGGGGTACCCTTGCACTGCCCTTACCAGTTGTTGCAATGCAGTCAAAGCCCACAAAGGCATAAAAGCAAGTCGCAGCACCAGCCAAAGTTCCTGTGAAGCCATAGGGCATAAAGCCACCAGCCCCATAGATGCTTGTTCCATTTTCAGAAGGTGGTTCTCTGAAGAAAAGAACAGACCCAGTCAGCTGCTTCATGGAAACTGTGCCTTCTGGTGATTTCTCTCAAACCACGTCCTTGGAAGACAGTTGGTGCTCATTGGTTCTTTGGAGCTAATGTATATAAACCCACAACTTTATTCTGTCACCTTGTTCTGGAGAACATGGTAGACTCCCTCACAATGATCCTCTAAGTCACTGACATCCAACTATAGGTTATTCAACAGCAAATACAGAAGTCCCAGACCAAAGTATATGTGTGAGAGAGAGAGGGGTTAGGGAGAGAGTGAGAGAGGGACAGAGAGAGAGAGAGAGAGAGAGAGAGAGAGAGAGAGAGAGAGAGAGAGAGAAAGAGAGAGAGAGAGAGAGAGAGAGAGCAGGATGAGCCCACATTGGCCTGGAACCTGCAATATAGCTCAGGCGAGCCTTAAACTTGTGTCAGTCTTCTTGCCTCAGCCTCCTGTGAGCATCACTGTGCTGATTTATATAGACGTGTGCTAGATGGAGCACAGGCAAGCAGGATTTTGACATCTGAGATGCCGCATGTGAGCCATGCTCTACAATAAAGGTAAGAAACTTTCTCTTCATCCCCTCCCCTCAAAGAATCAATTCTTACCTCATGGAACAAAAAAGAAAGGCAGAATGTACATCTTTAAAATTCATTTAGGGGCTGGTGAGCTGACTCAGTAATGTAGATTGGTGACAATGTAAAAGCACTTGTCACCAAGCCTGGCAACCAGTTTGAGTCCCAGAACCAGAACAATATCTTGGAAGAAGGCAACCAACTCTTGCAAACTATCTTCCAACATCTATGCATTCATCTCAGTCACAAACACACCACACACACACACACACACACACACACACAGACACACAGACATACAAACACACCCAGATGCACACACACATATACACTGAACAAATAAAATAAAAAATAGCAAAAAGCCCATAAAATTTACATACAATATAGTTGAAAAAAGTAGAACAGAAGCATCCCATAGGCTTGATTAATCATAATGAAAGTTTCATGTTTTACCATATAGTAAAAACTATAAGATTAGCAGACACTATCCCTTATCAGGATGACTGTAAATGACATATATAAATAAAAAACATGTACTTATCATTACAGCATGTAATAAATACTTCTGTAATCTTTTTTCTACTTAGGAAACTAATAATACCAATAAGAACAAAATGGCCCCCTTGTTGGAGTAGGTTTGGCCTTGTTGGAGAAACTGTGTCTTTGGGGTTGGCTTTGGGGTTTCACATATGCTCAAGCCACACCCAGTGTCTCAGACCACTTCCTGTTGCCTTCGGGACCAAGATGTAGCTCCTTCTCCAGCACAATGGCTGCCTGCATGCCACTATGTCCCACCATGATGATAATGGACGAACCCTCTCATACTGGAAGCTACTCCATTAAATGCTTTCCTTTATAAGAGTTGCTGTCTGTGTTCATGGTGTTTCCTCACAGCAGTAGAAACCCAAACTAGGACAGGCTCCAAAATTTTTTTTCCAAGGGTTTCTCAGAGTAGCTGTAGCTGTCCTGAGACTTACTCTATACATCAGGCTGGTCTCCAACTTAGAGATCCTCCTGCCTCTGCCTCCCAAATACTGGGATTAAAGGTGTGCACCACCATGCCCAGCTTCCAAAATTCTTAAAAGCCTGAAGGCATGCAATGAAACTGATGGTCCCAAAGAAGAAACCACAGGATGCAAGAATCAAAAATATTCCTAGTTCTTTAGAGGTGGTGAACTGTTGGGGAGCCAAGGGCGAGCTCTTGCAGGGGTTAGACTCTGCCCTAGAGGCTGCATTGGGAGCCAGAAGCTGCAGAGCTTCACTAGTGGCTCAGCGGGAAGCACAGCCCTACCTTGGTATGGGAGGTCTGGGAAGGGGAGCTGCATCCTAGAACCATCCTCCAGAAAGGTCTCAGCAGCAACAAGACTGAGAACTGCTGCTCTACAGAGAACTTCCCGAAATGTTCTCTTAAAATGTAGCAGAGAGAGTGGATAGGGAAGAGGAGGAAGGAGCGGGAGCACTACTACTAGTTTACCTGGCACCTGCTGATATATTTTTGAGAAACTCTTCACTGATCTTCCAGTTAGCCACATTTCCTTTCACAAACCCAGCCACCATTACAAAGAGGAGGACCAGAATATTAATAGCTGTGAAGAATTTATTCACCCAAGCAGACTCTTTTACTCCAAAAGATAACAGTCCTATGGAAAAAGAGAAGGCATTAATGTGGGCACTTGACCCATACGAAAGACAATGCTACCCTGATGGCTATAAATGCATTGGATATTATTGCACTAGTATCCATATATTTACATTCCATTTCTTCAATTCCATGGCTAGTTCAGTCATCAATCACCTTTTCTGTGAAGCAATGCCTATGGAGACACCACTGATTTTGATCTCTAGAAGCAGGCTTTGCTCACACTCAAGAGTTCCACACTATCTGTGTAAGTGTAGTAACTCTGGTTATTATTACCAAGGTAGGCACAGGCACAACACCTCCTTAAAAGCTATTCCAGGGCTGATGTAAAAGTCTGCCATGCACCTTCTGATCGTGTCACCAGAAAATAACTTCCCTAAGGGCCACGTCAAAATGTTCTCTGTTAAATCAGTTCTCAGATGATAGATTTACTTTATATTAGGAATGTAAATATCCTATTCAAGTAGTTTGATAAAACAGAACAGTATAAGGAATAAAGATCAACTATGGTATCCCTTCAGAATTCTGCACATGCACACACAGATATTTCTGCACCAATGCATTTATCATCCGTTTTAGCAGCTGCATAACATACTAGGCAGAGATACTTTAAGCCCTTATTTATAGACAATTAGGTCACTCTTGGTTTTATTTTATAAACAGCACTGACATCATTGCCATCTTATAAATACCCCTCTGCATTTTATAACATTTTCCTTACAACAGTCTACAAATTAAGAGTGTGTGGGGGGGCATGCAGTGTGTGTGTGTGTGTGTGTGTGTGTGTGTGTGTGTGTGTGTGTGTGTGTGTCTAGTATGTACACATGTGTATGTGGGTGTATGTATGTGTGTATGAGAGGTCAGAGGTTGCTGTGGTGTCCTCCTTGATTGCTCTGTAAATTTTGTTTTGGGAGACAGACTGTCTCCCTCTGCATCTTTAACCCACCTGGCATATTTATATGAAGTATGGATCTTAGTTCAACTTTTACTACTGGGGCAATGGTTGCTATGAAAAGACAATGGCTCAGATCTTGCCAGCCTCTTCCCTGTATCCACAGCACCCACCATGACAGAAGCAGAACCGTGCAAGCATGGATGAGAGCAGTTGCATTTCATTCTTCTGCATGTACAGTTTCCACTCTGACATAACAGTTACAGCAATAGCATAAAGGAACGCTGTGGGGTTGGCACAACTATGGACTCTGCAATTGGCTCTTGGGTTAGATGCCTCTGGTGCACACCTCCAAGCAGAACAAAGCCACAGCCACAGTTCATATCAGGTTCCAAACATGCCAATGCATTATCTGCCACCAACAGATTAGATTCCAATAAAGACCTCATCTGAACACTACACATGCCCCCCTCCCTGGTAGCTTTACTAAAACAAGTTCTGGCAGACATATGACACTGCAATTTGACCAAATACTTACAATGGGATATTTAAATTTTCAAACAGTCTAGGAAGTAAGTTCTAATGTAAGTTTAGACTACATTTAAAGAGAAGACTGACGGTCAATGAACAGAGGACAAAAACTCAGTCAGGCTAAAGCCAAGGTCTCGTCATTATAGACTTAACAGTTCTGAACATGTGTCATAGCTATAGGCTTCTGACCATTAAAAGACTAAAGCTGAATATTTTAGGCTTATTGAAGCCACTTCTAAATAACACATGATAACACTAACTAGGCTGTTTAGAAACTAAACTGAGTCAATGTCATTTAATGAAAAGTAATGCATGTATTTCTTTTTTAAAAAACTTGTGAAATGGGCTGGAAAGATGGCTCAGAGGTTAAGAGCACTGACTGATTTTCCAGAGGTCCTGAGTTCAATTCCCAGCAACCACATGGATGCTCACAACCATCCTTTATGAGATCTGGTGTGCAGATGTACATGGAAGCAGAATGTTGTATACATAATAAATAAATAGAATCTTTAATAAAAAACTTGTAAAATTAAACATATTTGTATGGTTGGGGAAGGGAGGTGGAGTAAGCTCAAGTGTAGAAGTAAAATGACAACTTCTGAGCATTGGTGTTTCTCCTTCTACTGTGGGTCTAGGGACTGAACTTGGGTCTTCAGGCTTACTTAACGGCAGTTACCTTTACCCACTTATTCATGTTACTGACCCTTAACCCATGTCACATGTCTCTCAACATTAGAAGCAAGGTACACAACATTTTGGACCTATGGAATTTGTTTATGTTTGTGTCCCTCTCTTTACAATTTTCTTAATTAATGACAGTTTTTTTTAATGTAAAGCTATTTTGTGAACCATGCACTTGTCCAGGTAAAACATTTCCTAATAGAAAAATTATTTCTGTCACATTCATCAAGCCCAGAGAGAAACCAGAGATGAGGCTAGACCGGAAAGTGAGAAGCCAATTACTCAGGGGAAATCAAGTAAGAAGCCAGAACAAACAGATCGGCTTAAGGGTCTGTAGATAAGGAGAACAGTCATAATAGAAAATGTCCAAATAATCTATGTAAGGGACAGCAGGGATTAACTATGCTTCCAAAATAAAATTGGCTGCCATCTGGGTGCATACTATACTCCAAGCAAGGAGCAGTACGAGGCAGTCTATGGTACTCACATTTCATGGATGAACATACTGAGGGAGGAAAAGACGAAACACACTTTTCAAATTCTGCAAGTAATGAGTAGCAGAGAAAGATGGAAAGCCTAAATGCCCCTACTGTAGTTCTGGAGCCTGTTTAAGGTACACTGTTGAAAGGTGGAAGGTCCTATAGCAAGTATGTCTCTCTGTAGGATATTTGCATTAGAAAATGCCCGGTGAGCTGAATGCTTCCTTTTCAAACACAAGTCTGCAGTATATGCGTGACAGAAAACACTACTTTTTTCTAGAAATGATGTTTGCTAACAACCCTGGTTGCATTTAACATGATGAAACAATACCATGAAATTCTACATTTTTTCCTTATAGAAATACCCTTCCCATTCTTGAACATTTCTTATTAGTACTGAAAAAAACTGATGCTCTCCAAACAAAAACTGACATCTCCATCCTATGACTTACTGAATTCCAGGTACCTTCTCCTCCAAAGCGAGGCTTCTCGCTTCCATGCACATTTAATCCTATTGTGGACCATAGGGGAGATGAAGCCCACAGTGACTCAACACTAAACCTATGGGCCTTGACATGATATGCTGACCTCATTCAGAGAACCCCGGCTTCAAATCTGTGTAACCTACTTTGCCAGGGCCCACTGGTGTGGTTTGTTAAGGGAACAGCATATGATTGGTTTTCTTACCTGCCAAAAGTAATATAAGGCACACAGCAAAAAAGTCTGGATACTCTGCCAGGCCGGTGTAATTCATTTTGAAGTATGTCTTGAAAAACTGACCAATCTGCTTGTTAAGAAGTTCATCAAAAGTGCCACTCCACGCTCTTGCGACACTGGATGTACCTTCCAGAAGCAGAACATTCAGAGAATAAAAGGTTACTGGTAGAAAATTAACAGAACTCATCTGCTTAGTTGTTTCCTGGATAAACCTGGCTTAGTTCATGCTGACTGAAAATTTTAACCACATTAGAAAGCCAAATTACTGTGTATACACACACACACACACACACACACACACACACACACACACACACACACACACACATTACTATTTACATAGTAATATATGTATGACAAGAATACTGTGTTTTGTTTGTTTGTTTGTTTTTTTGAGGCAGGGTCTTGATATGTAGCCTGGGCAGACCTCATACAGGTGTGTAAATGCTCTTACCAGGCAACTTTTATTTGCAATAAAGAACTATTTAGAGGCTAGGAAGATAGCTAAGCAGTTAAAAACACTTACTGCATAAGCAAGAGATCAATTCAGACCCTTACGGAACTACCACGGGGAAGCACAGCCTGTAAGTCTAGCCTTGGAAGGCAGAGGCAGCGCCCCAGGACAAGCCGGCCATGGCTAGCTGGAATGTAACCAATGGGCTCACCAGAGAGCTCCTGCCTCTGAGAACAAAGCTGAAGCGCAACGGAGAAAGATTCCTGACATGTTCTCCAACCTCCCCGTGCACCCAAAGACAGAGCATATGTAGCAGCATACATGCGCGCACGCGCGCGCGCACACACACACACACACACACGCACGCACGCACGCACGCACGCACGCACGCAAAAGAAAAAAAATGTATTTTGAAAACTTCAAACCACTTTCAAACTCATTAAGAATCATGGATTCAAAGGGGAAGCAAAATCAGAGACTTCAGCAATGAGGGCGTAATTTAGAGATGACAAAAAAAGAGACAGGGAACAAGTGATTCTCTCAGAATCACCCCACAGCTGAGAAGCGCAGGTTAAACCCTAGTGCTAAGGCTCTTTGGAGAGCTATTTTTACCCTGTACACAACTGATATTTGTTTTTAAATATACCTATGACATATGACAGAATGAGATTCCAGCCAGTGATGAAGGCCCACAGTTCTCCAACCGTTACATAAGTGTATAGATAAGCAGATCCAGTCTTGGGAACTCGGGCCCCAAATTCAGCATAGCAAAGGCCTGCCATCACCGAGGCCAGGGCGGCGATGAGAAAGGACACCACGATACTGGGGCCAGAATCTGCTTTGGCGACTTCCCCAGCCAAGACATAAACCCCAGCGCCGAGAGTGCTTCCAACCCCCAGCGCGATGAGGTCCATGGTGGTTAAGCAGCGGCAGAGTTTGGAATCTTCTAGACTGTCCAGTGTGACGATTTTTCTCCGGATCAAACATCGCGCAAAAGTCAGCACCGCTCTGCAGGGAATCATGGTGAAGAGAGCAACCTAGGGGAGAAAGGAGAGGAGGGGTTACAAGGAGGGGTCTGTGGCCATCTCCCCTCCCATTGAGCAAAGAAAACCAGCGGACCCCTCCTTCCCACCCCCCTTACCTAGTTCAGAGCAACCAGGAGGGCTAAAGATGAGAAAGCTGCACATTTTGGGGGTTCACGCACACATACCAAATTAAAGTGGGAGCGGGACGCCGGTAAAAAAGGTGACTTAAAAGATCCGCAATTTGGCCCGATTGTAGTTTTGTAGACACATTGAAAGGAATGCTTTTCTTCTTAGATGGTGAATTTACCCTTCACTAGAAAGCAAGGTTTAGATTCTGCCCTTAAAACCATTTTCTTCTTTAATCCGTCATCCAATTCCAGGTCTCTGAGCCTTCTCAAATGCCAAAGTTGCACTAGGAATATATGCAGAATGGTCACACATGTGTGGCCTCCCATTTAAGGGATCTACAGTCTAGCTATGTCCTAACAGTGCGTAAAGGGTGGTGGTCATATACTTGCAAGCTTTACTGAATGTGTCAGAGCCACCCCACTTTCCTCTTGAGCTGGGAATAAGGAGCAGATGTTAACTCACTAGAAGAAAAATCTGCTTCCCAAAGCTCTTTTGTTAAGAGCTTAGATTGCTCTTACGCAAACTGCTATCCAGCTATGCTTCAAGTATGTGTTGGTTTGAAACTACATGTGCTTATTGTGCTTGAGATTTTAAGACAAGTCCAAAGCCTATAGTGTTATCTTGTATTCTTTTCAAGTGAGAGGAATAATGAGAATGAGCCCCATTCTCCATCATTTGCCCCAACAATTTAACCCTGGAAAACACCATTCTATAAAACAAAGTGAGGCTTTCAGTAATACACACAACACCCACACACCAGAGCAAAAAAAGGTCTGAACCAAAATATTAACCTAACTGTATTTTGATCATGAGTTAAGTTTTTACTTTTAACTACTTCATACAATACAAATTATTATTCTCTACCTCCAGGTTAGTTCCAAGGAATATGTATAACCTATGTGCAAAAGAAATTCTGCAGTTTTAAAAAGTCTACTTGGGTTTGTCTACAGAGGCGTGGAATTCAGCAGACTGAAGGCAACTGAGAAGAGGGGTAGAGTATGCTGTGTATCCGTCAATGCAACGTAGACATTAAGTCGTGTGTGCCCGCACTTCATGCGCTGAACACCGGCACAATGGTCTGCTGCTGGAGGGTGCTGGTCCCTTCAACTTCATCATATCCATCATCAATAACATAAGCGTATGAGACTGCAGCATGGGACCTTCGCCCTATGTCCTTGGCCTTAGGATATACGGGCTCTAATATCCCAGTGGAATGAGGGATTCTGATGATAGCAGAAATAGGTACATATGGCTTTTTTTTGAACAAATGATTATTTTGCTAATTGCTAAAACAGTAGCTTTGTTTGAGGAAGAAAAATGCTGAGATTGAATATAATTAGACAAAGCGGGCCTGAGGGGATTAGCTCTATGTGCATGTCTCTATACGATTTTATTGAGGCTAATGATACGTGTGGATCTTCCCCAGCCCATCTCAACCTGAAGAATGACAGTTTCTAAGTGTCAATACTTCTAGAGCCACCTGGAGATGTAACTTCTAAAACTTTTTCAATCCAGGCCATCAATTTGACAGCAGGGAATTCTGGGTCTAGTAAACCTTCATACCTGATGATAACACCAGGGGGCAGATATCCCCTCCTAGCCCCCATATGCATCATTTGAAATCTGCTAGTTACAGAAAAATGCCCATCCTGGATTGTGGCTTCATTTCCATAATTGAGGCAAAAGTCACAGAAATGAATCCTTCCACTCCTGCCCCGTGTCAAGGCTGATGTGCCAAACTTAGTCCCTGTGTCATCATCACGTGCCCTCACAAACATACCACAGGGGGAACGAAGGAGGCTCGCCAGTGGGGCAGTGGTCCCTAGAGCCTGCAACCAATTAGCTTGTCCCAGTTAGAACCCAGGTTTTTCTTTCTCATTCCTCGGCCAGTTTCATAGTGAGGAATATGCACTGTGCATTTCTGGACTGATGGAGAGAAATGCAGTTACGATGTATATAGTACAGGGTTGGTGCCTACCCTTCCTTTTGTCTTCAGATTTGATATTTTGATTTTATAATCTCCATAGCCAACATCAACTATGTTCCTACAGTTTTAAAATTCCAATACAAAGTTCTAAATTATATTATAGGTTAAATAAGTCAGCAGAAGGAGAAAATGCTATGACATGGATTGCTGATGGTAATTCTTTTTACTTATCCTTGAAAGATAAATTTCTCAAAACAAAGTATTATTTAATTAGAAATGGTAACTCTTGCACCTGAACAACAAAAACAAGCTTTTGCACTGAAACCTATCACTGTTTTTCTGAAAGCCACTTTTCAGAAAGATAGGAAATAAATTACCCTATCTTTTCTCCATATTGAGTTTTCGGAACAATTTCTTCCTCTAAGGTATTTCCCAGATAGGTGAAAGGCAAAGTTGGGATAAGTAAAAATCAAAGATACAAACGAGATCATTACAAATGTACAACACAGTAGTAATTCCTTTTAAAAGTAGTTCTTCCCTTTTTAAAGCATTGAATCAGTATGGCCAGAAGTTAAGGCAGAAATGTACTATTTCAAAACTTCCCACGGGCAGGCATTTCTCCTAAGGTTATACAACAACTGAACAGCTGATGCAGGATTTTGGAACATTTCTACAGACAACGGGTGGTTTGGAACACGTGGTTTGGGTACACTCACCTCAGAAACAATGAAAACACAGCTGAGCAGTTCATAGAAATAGATGGAACATATATTTTTTTTTAAGTGTGTAACTTTGTTCCCAGGGGAAGGGAAGAGAGAATAAAGCAAAAAAGAGACAAGAGACGTAATGAAAGCAAAGCTCTCGGCTCTGTGGTAACCAGAGTAGCTGCCCAGTCAGCACTCTGCCCTGGCTTGGTAGCAGCAAGAGCACCAAGTAGGCGCCTGTTCTCTTCAGCAATGGCTGGCCAATAAATCACCCTGAATGCCACAGGGCACCACCTGTTCCCTTTCCCCAAGATGCTGGTGCCAGTCACTCTATTCACAACTGCAAACATCAGGAGATGCCCTTCTCCAAATTAGTTCATGCCTGCCTGCCACTAATTCACAAGTGCTGCTGTTAAAATGCCAAAGGTCTCCGGTGTTTTCGTGTTCCCGGGATGCCCTGACACTTTTTATTTTATTGTCCCATCCCATAACTTTTTCAATGTTCCTGTAAGATCAGGTCTATCAGGTTTCATTGTAGAGATGAACAAACTAAGTTACTGTATAGTTAGCCAACATCATAGTCCACCTATAATGGAAAGAAGGTGAAACCCATTGCATGGGACTTCAGAACAATGGTTCTTTCTCAACCTGAGGGTCTCAACCCCTCCAGGGAGTCAAATGACCCTTTCACATGGGTCACACACCAGATATTCTGCATCTCAGATACTTACATTATGACTAATAGCAGTGGCAAAATTACAGTTATAAAGTAGCAACATAAGGAACAATATCAAAGGAAGTATTAGGAAAGGTTGGGAACCACTGTTCTGGAACCACTCGCCAAACAGGAACTGTTAGTGGGTGGGTGAAAAGGGTTAGGCCTAATGGGGGTTAAACAGTCTGAATACCTTATTGGAAAAAAAAAAAAAAACAAAACAAAACTGGAAGCCTGATGTTGGAAAGAAAAGGAATTAGCAGGAAGTGAAGTACAAATGGCAAAAAGGTGAACGAACAATTTACATTTGAATGATAGCAGAGCAAGGGCTGGCAGAGTGGCCCTCGCAGCACCCCCAGACCTTCAGTGATAGCTTCTGGTTTTAATGACCAGACACAGCTCAGCACAGCTTGCATGTACTGAAACAAAGCAGAAGAAACCCAGTCTAACACTGCAAGTTCAGCAGGGGTGGAGAGAAGAGAGAAGGCAACTGGCCCCCCTCTGGCCAGACCTCCCTGGTAAGGGAGCATATCCAGTCACCGCTACTCTGTGGGATTGCAACCTAAACACTATTGGTTATGAGTACCCCAGCCATCGTGTTCTGTAGAGTTTGGGGGACATCGGAGTATGCCCCGGCTACCTATCTGTCTCTGGTCCAGCTAACTGTGGCTTAGGGGTGGGAGACAGTGCTGTAGTGACAAAGGAGCAAGCAGCAAGTGATGGGGCTTCAGCAAAGTGGCCATGTTGCACAAACTAACCAGAACCAATGCAAATCCAAGCAGTAAAATAAAACAAAACAAGGGGGCGGTGCATTTAGTCTTGCTTCTTAAAGAAACTTTAAAAAACGAACATGATTGTCTTTTAATAACAATTCATATTCCCTTAATTCTACCTTTAATGCCTTGTCAATTCCATGATGCCAAGAAAATCTAGATGATGTGAAAGGACCTATAGACTTAGCACCTCTTGAAGCACCCAGTGCACGGGAAACAAAACTCCTTTACTTATTTCTGGGTTAGTCAAATTTTGAATTCCAGATGCTAGAAGAAGTATGAGCCTGGACCAGGATGGGGGCTGGAGAACGCAGAGGTTTTTTTTTTTGGTCTGAAAGCAAAGAACTGATAAATGCTTCAGGCCACTCTGGTCTTCTCTACTCATTCTCTTTCCAGTGCTTTGTCTCTACAAAGCACTCCCTTTTCAATCCAGCACCCTGAGCTGCCCCAAAGTTACTTAATTTAGCCAGCTGTTAGAATTCTACCAATTTTGTTTCAGTGCTAGGCAAAAATTCCTTCCATCAAACTGTGGTGGGAAAGGAATTTTACAAGAATTCACACCCATTTTTTAGCTCAAAAAAAATGTAGCTGGATACCTAGTTTTGTGGTTTTGCTATAAAGTTATTTCCTGGTGGGGGAGGTCACTTTTGACGACACATTTTCAATTTTGAAAAGAATGCTCTGATTTGGTGTTTCTTAAATTCCAGGAACAATGTATGCACAGAGACTATTATTGCTGGCATCTTGGG